AAAGTGGCATTGTACGGAACCTGATTGGTTCAAAAGGTATGAGAATTGAATAAGCTAAGTGATAGCTTGAATTTGAGAAATGACTTGGTATTTTGGTATTATGGATTCATATATTTGTTATCTATATGAATACTTGATTTTGCAAAGGTTTTGGTGATCCTTCACCCTGCAATAACATGAATAGGGTATCTCACTAGACTTTATAGTCTAACCCTCGTTTTGTGATTTTAAAATGTGTATTGCAGGAGATGTGGAAGGTAAAGGAAAGGAAAAGATTTAGTACTTTTCTTACATGCATTTTGGGTGAAGATTTGCTTTTGATGCGTAGCTCTGATGATTAGTACAAGATTGTATTTGGAATTTTTGGACCTTGTGTTTGGTCATAGTAGAATCTTGCACTAGTGGACCCGAATGTATATAAATATGTATTTCTTTGGTATGAAATATGTATTACATGCAATATGTGGGTTGGGGCGTTACACTAACTGTTTTTACATATCTCCTTTTAAGTTCCCACACATGCTAGTAATGTGAGGGCAAAATATCGTCATTTTTCCCTTGTGTCCCCACCTTATTTATAATCGTTACTCTTCATCTTTATTTTTTTACCTCTTTCTTCTCCCATATTGAAACCCAAATCTTCCCTTTGTCGTTTTTCTTTCTTCATCTTCTTGGTAGATCAATAATGTTGATCTATAAATGTGGCTCCACTGCAATCATTCGAACATCATGGACCTCCATAAATCTATCTTGGGTGTCACATCTATTATTGTTCAAGAATGGTAAGTTTCTCTTCTATATATCTCCTAGTGATCGGGTATAGTTTTTATCCCTTGATTATTTGCAAGGAGAAAATGTTCGTTTATAGGCTTAGGTTGACCCACCATTGTGACTAGCACATGGGGCACTTAAACAAAGAGGAGTAACATAGTAGGGTCAAGGATGAAAACTAAAACAAACTCAAAAGTAGAGGACCCAATGGTGTACTTTTGAAAGTGGAGTGATGAAAATCATAGTTTCCTTAAACCACTTGGATTATATTTTGTAATTTCTCTTGCTCTTATTTTACCTTCCATCCATCGCAGCTGCCAACTTCATCCATCCTTCCCTTTATACCACCCTCATGACACTCCGTCCCCCATCTCTTTAATCATTACATGTATTATTAATCTTTTTTTTATGATTTTAGTGTCTTTCAAGCATAATGGTGTAATTGTGATTTACTTCTGATCAATTAGGGCGATGAGGAAAACATGTGTAAGTTAGAAGGTGCGGGGTGCACATTTATAAATGTTGTCCTTATCACCTTTGATTGCCATAAAGCGGGGTAAAGGGACAGTGCCCTGACAAGGTCTTAAGGGTTGCACCCCTGGCGGGGTCCCAAGGGGCTGAGCCCCTTGCCTTATAATGACTTAGAAATTTCACTAAGTTGTGCGTATTCAGCAATTACTGAACCATTGTTGAACGTGTGTGATCGGCTGTCGCTTAACAGCTTAAGTTGTTGTTGAAGAGCCTTCAGTTATCGATGCTGAAAGTGTCTTCAGTTGTGGTTGTTGTCGCTGAATGTGTCTTTAACTATTGCTAAAAGTGAACTTCCAGCTTTTCGTTGAGTCAGCTGGAAATAGAAGTTTAGATTCGGTTGTAACTGCTTTTTGATCTTATCCATTAACGATTATAATCGTTAAACCACCAATAAACCGCAAATAATCGTCAATCTCTCATTTAAATATGTAAAGCGAGAATCTGGGTATAAAAATCTTGATTTTCACAGCCTTTGAAAAAGAAAGAATAACCTAAAGAATTATCCCAATACAAAATCTGTGAACCCAAGGCTAATAGGGTTGAATTATTGTAATCGGAAAGTGCTTTGTGATATGATTCTTAAGTTTTATCCATTCCCTATATCTCATCCAAAATACAGTCCCTAACACTTTACAAATTAAATATTTCCTCACCTACCTTTCCTCTCCTTCCTTCATATTAGAATATACTTCACAAGCCTCTTCTATTCCCGAATCCACACATAACTCACCCATTATATCATCATCACTACTTGCAAGATTTTTCATCCGTCTTGCTATCCCCTACCACATGATCCTTTTGATTGTCCCCTAATCATATTCCAAAAAGCACAAAACTAAAATTGTACATTGAAGATAAGGATTTCATCTTACTTTAGTGCTTTAATTTACTCTCTTCAAAAAGTACAGGAAAGTTGAAGGCAAGTAGCTCTCATGTATAGGTCTTTATTCGATGATCTCATTGCAAACGTTTCTCGGCCAAGGTTTTCTTAACACCTCCACATGCACATTTTCGGCAAGAGCAATGAATCCTAAATGTGAGAGTTCCCAAAATGACTTCAACCTTCAATTCTTGGTTGTGTTCAAGATTCATTATATCTCATCGAATTAATTTGCAATATCCTAGGACTACTATGTTGAGGCTTTCACAAGGTACCATCAACGAAATCATATATATTTTTGATAAACAAAGCATTGGGGATAGCTCGACTCCATGAGCAATAATTTTCTCCAATTAATGGTTTATAAACCAGTACCAAAACTAGATTGTCGGAAACTCGGAATGATACAAAGTATGGATGGCGACGATCATCAATGGTGGAGACTGTTGGATTAGATGTTCTACAACAGGCATGTCGAATTAAACATTAAATGAAGATCGTTTGATAAATTAGCGTATGAGATGAATCAAATTTGAACTGAATATCACTAGATAAATCAGCTGACCAGAAGCCACTTGGCTACATCTGCCCCTATCCTGCACAGGTTTCAGTGTATTTATACTACAGACACCAAATTGTTTCACCAACTGAAACCCACCACACACACAAATATTAAAACATTAGTTAAGAAGAAAATAGTAAAGGAAATATACACACATCTAGAATAATAACAAATACTAGAATTTTATACTTGAGAAAAAAAAACTATAAAAATAGACATGACATGACATATTAAGTATAAGTACAATGTATAATATGAAATAACAAATAGGATATAAGAACGTTAATGGCATGTAAAAGAGCTATTCATTCCTAAATCCTCAACGTGGATTTTGTACTTGGAGCATCATGTCTTTCATCCCCATAGTACTTGAACTGTATTCGCCAAAAGTATCACTATTAGCTATCAAAGGAATGGTATAAAGATCAACTTGTTCACTTTCAATCATTATGCTACTCATCTCATTGTAGTTGTCTTGGCCATCCCAAGAATGTTTGTTGAACTTCCTCAATGTTTCAAGCTCCATGGTCACTTGTTTCATGCTAGGTCGGTTCTGACCTAATTGGTTAAGGCATTTACATGCCAGGTCACATGTTGCTTTTAGTTGCTCATCAGTTGCCTCATTTACCACTTGGTGATCAAGAATGTCAAGCAATTGATTTTCCTTCATTGCCTTCAAAAAGTAAGTTGCAAGGTTTCGTTCTTCTAAGCATCTTTCCACACTGAGGGGCTTTTTTCCCGTTAAGAGTTCTGCAAGAACGACTCCGAAGCTATACACATCACTCTTGTCTGTTAGTTGGCCAGTATGAAAATATTCAGGATCCAAGTACCCCAAAGTTCCTTGAACTAGTGTACTGACTTGATCATGACCCAAGGGGACTAACCGTGAGGCTCCAAAATCTGCAATTTTTGCAGTATAATTATCATCTAACAAGATATTAGTTGATTTCACATCTCTGTGTATGATGGACATTCTAGCATCTGTGTGAAGATAAGCAAGTGCACCAGCCGATTCATGTGCTATCCTTAGACGATTGTTCCATGATAATCTTCCCAAGCCACTTGTTTGATTATGAATATGACGATCAAGAGTGTCATTAGATTCATATTCGTAAACTAGTAATGGGACATCAGTTTCCARACAACATCCCAAAAGTTGCACAACRTGTTGGTGATTAATTTGTGTGAGAATCACCATTTCGTTTATAAACTGCTCCCTTTGTGMTTGATCCAGTCTTTGGGACTTCTTGATTGCTACGATGCACTTATCTGGTAGGGTTCCCTTGTAGACAATGCCATTACCTCCTTTGCCAAGAATCATATCTTCCGCATAATTTTTAGTWGCTTCTTCTAGCTCTTCAACTTGAAAAATTTTCATGGAACCGATACCAACACCACCCTTGGTTTTTAGTTTATCTTGCAATAGCACACCACCGTTTTGTTCGAAGAAACTTTCYCTTMGCTTAACTAGCTTCCTTTTCTGGGCCATGAAGTACAACACCGAGAATCCAATCAGTATCGCAAGGAATCCAATCCCCAAGCCTATATGTAATTATGTGAAAATTAACATTTTTTGAATAAGATGCAGGGTTCTGTATAAGAAGCATTGTTAAAGTCCTATAAACTTAAAAGTATAATTAATGACTCTATTAAAAAGGGCCGGACATCCCAATAGGCCTATTACATTAGTTCCAAATATTAAAAGAAGCACCATAAATAATCACCGAAGAAAAGTTTTAGGTCCATCGTCAAGGGAAAGTAGCCAAAATATGCAAGATTGTTATGCCGAAAAGTGTTTACGTGTGTACGGGTATTTGTTAGAATCGACACATGTTCTCAAGACTAGGAAGAAAAATAGAAATTACCTAATGAGAGTTGGAGAATTGGAATATTGCGACGACAACCACCKTGAATCTTGGCATCACCAGAATACCCTTGCTTACATTTGCATTTGTAGTTCCCCCCATTATTAACACAAGTTCCATAGCATGGAAAACGCTCCTTATCTTTACACTCATTGATATCTAGAAATAAAAGAGAACRTCACAAAACATATCATAATATAAATACAAGTAAACAATTATAAAAGTTGGATCATCATTTAATCACATTGTCCAATCCTAAATAGATACTCTGCTTAGTGTTTTGAATCATACTACATATATGGTTTCGAACTATGAACCAAATATATTCTCAAAAGATCTTAAATATAACAAAAGAGATGTATAAATATAAAAAACATAAGACGTCTTAAAATTGTTTTAGAATTCGAAAAATATTATACTACAAGAAATATCGTCAGCTAAAAGTTGTCGGTAATGAAACTTTTACCAGCAAATAACGACACCCGTTCGCAAAATCTTATTTGCCGGTAAAAGTGGATCCAAAGTCATCGTGGACCAATAGATTTATAACTTTTACCGGAGTCTTTGACAAAACCCGCCAGCAAAAAATGTTTATGTGACATTAGTATTTGGAATCCTTTCGATTTAGCGTAGGCAATCCATTATATTTTATAGAACTCATAATTTCTTTAATCGGATTTGTATGACATCAACACTTTTTGCCTATGTATCCCTTTAAGTAACCGGTTTGTATTACAGTAGTGGATGGTCTTGGAGAGTTGAATTTGCCAAAGGTTATCATTGACTAAAGGAAACTTTCAAATCTAGAAATTGTCAATTAATTAAAGTAATTTACATCAAACCAACTTGATGATGCTAATTTGCTATTGACTTTCAAACAAGTCATCGGAATCGAATGGTATATGAAATAAGGTATTAATTGATCAATCTAATGGTACCTGTGGTCCTAAGGCGACTCAAAC